ACAGAATTCTTATTGAAGGGCAATGCCCCCATTTTGCCCCTTTTGTAGCCCATCCCTGGCATTTACCTAGTTTTAGCTAATGTCCCAGCTGTGTGCATTCCTCAAGTAGTCAAATTTAGCTGTACTAATTTCTTTGTTTATATCCAGTGGCAGTTAATGGATTCCATGTCACTGGGACAGTCAATTTACTTTGAGTTATAATCCAAACATTAATTTTGGTTTAAAAGTAAAAGTAATCCAAAAATTAAAACTAAAATCAAGAAAAGATTCACTGACATGGGAACCATCAGTGTTTATATCAGATCAGTGGTTATCAGATCAGTGGTTATATCAGATCATTGTAATAAATATATCAGTTATTGTAATAAACTGGTTTTGAAGATACCTTTTAAAAGGACCGGTACAGGATACAGCAAAAAGTAAAGAATGTGAATGGGCAGAGACCCATGGGAACAGATTATAATTGCCCCTCTGCATCAGTGCAGCTACCAACTATGGATATATAAAGTTAGGATACCCCCTACCTGAGAGCCGGAGTCATATAATGGTTTGATTGCTGGACAGGACAATGGGAGACCAGTGTTCAAATGGCCACTAAAGCATGGAAATTCACTGGGTGACTTTGGGCAAGTCGCACTCTCAAACTCAAAGGAAGGCAAGAGCAACACATTCTGAACAAATTCTGCCACAAAACCCCATGAGAGGTTTGCCTTAGGGCTGCCATGACTTGAAGACACACAGCAACAATATTCCCCCACCTCCCATGTGCATCACTTGCTTAAGCTGAAATGAGTAATTGCCATTTTATTGCCCCCAAATGCCTGAAAATACCTGAAAATATTCTTACCTCACTCTTACAAGTACCTCCAATACCTCTGTCTTCCTCTGCATTGATGGCCACAGGATGTGACAAGATTGAGAAATCCTTTAATATTCCTGTGGATTGCAGAGTTTAATTTGATTTGGAGCTGAGCCCAAGAAAAATAGGGGATACAATGAAATAGAAGCCAGTTATTAGAACATGCTAATAATATATGCCTTTTGCTGGTAAATAATCATCACCCATCTCATTAAATAGGAGGCTGATTTCCAAACCAGGTAAGGAGGTAAGTACTGTTACTTTCAATTGGATATGGAAACAAAGAGGCAGCCAGGGACTTCTAGGCCAATATGTATGGCAATGGTGGCTGGTGCATCCAATGTCACTGGATTTTAATTACAACTTAATCACCACACTGGATTTTAATTACAATTTTGCAGAAGCTATTGGAGGTACTGAACATTTTGAGGATAGGGTTCAGAACACTGGATAGCTCCTTCAATCTTCATCTAAAGATATGGAATGGATTTACACACATCCCTGACATGGGAGCCACTAGACAACCCTGAGCATGCCACCCATTCTGTCTCATGTACTCTCTCTCCTCTGTTTATTTGGAAATAGTATTACAACTTCTCAACAAAGCATTCCTCAAGTGATTTACAGACTAAAAGGATGTCTTACATGCCTGTTTCCAGTGGTGACTGGTGGGGTCCATGTCAGTGGAGTAATAAGTCTACTCTGAATTTTAGTCTGATTTTAAAGGAACTGTCCAAAGTGCTGAAACATATTTCTGAAGGTAGATTCAGTACCACAGAGTCAGTGTGGCATGGTGGTTTGAGTGTTGGACTACGACTCTGGAGAACAGGGTTTGATTTCCCACTTGGCCATGAAACCCATGGGTGACCTGGGGGAAGTCACATCAATTCAGCCTCAGGAGAAGGCAATGGCAAACCTTCTCTGAACAAGTCTTGCCAAGAAAACCCCATGATAGGGTCGTGATAAGTCAGAAATGACTTGAAGACACACAATAACAACAAGGAATAAATTCTTTTAGAACATGGCCTCATAGCTCGAAAAACCCACAAAAAACTATGGATGCTGGCTGTGAAAGTCTTCGACTTCACAAAAACAACAAAGTTCAGTACTACAAATAATGGTGATGATTCACTGCCTTGCAGACAAGGAAACTACCAGCTGCCAATGTATATTTCCAGCAATCCAATGTACAGCAATCCAATTGCTGGTACTACCAGCAATCCAATGTACCAGCTGCCAATATATATATATATATATATATATATATATATATATATATATATATATTCTTTGAAGATGCCAGCCATAGATGCTGGTGAAACATCAGAAAGAAACTGTTCTAGAACATGGCCACACAGCCCGAAAAACCCACAAAAAACAATGTATATTTTGATGGTTGTTTACACCCTCTCAACAGGATTGGTTGCTCATATGTAGGTCTTCCATCCCCCAGCAAAGGAAATTATTTCCAAAATAGGTTCATCATCTTGGAGAGTTACTTTAACGTTTGGACTCAAATCCAGAATGGATTCACCACCTCATAGATACGGACTAACCAACTGCTACTGTCTGAATGGCAATCAGTTCTAGGAGTTTATCACATTACAAAAAAAGAAAGCAGCTTACCCCTGGCATTTTCAAGTCTATTATGAGATGCAGTTGGGTATTATCACATGGAAAATGCTGCTGATGTCACTGCCTGATTGCATCAAGCCTAAAACCCAGCTACAAGCTTCACTCAGCTGGCCGATTTGCAAAGTTGGGAAACTCCTGACTTTACAAATCAGCCAGGTGAGCACAGCTTGTAGCCAGGTTTTAGGTGGGATGCAGTTAGATGGCAGCATCAGCAGCATTTTCCATGCAATAATACCCAACTGCATCCCGTAATAGACTTGAAAACAGCAGGGATACACCACTTTTTTTTTGTAATACAATAAACTCCCTAGATTGGGTTCCTCAAACCAGACTTTTCCACCAAGCCAGCCAGCATGGTGAATGGCTTTTGAAAGTGAGGGGAATTTCAAAATTGGAATGAGAGATGGGCATACAACTATTGTTAAGGGAATGTCACCATTCCAATGAACTCTTTATAGGTATTTTTTTTTAATCCTGTGTGTGTAAACTTTTCTTTCTCTCTTTAGCTAAGTCACTTCACTGTGCATCTGAATCCCAGTCAATGAAGAGCAACCATGGGTGAAGGTGCCATTATTTGCATTATGCTCATGGCTTCTCAGGAGCATCTGGTTGACCTTCATGGGAAACAGGGTAGTGGACCAGACAACCCTTTGGCCTGGTCTAGTAGGACAATTCTGTTTAACGGTCATGACTCCATCCAATGGAATCCTAGGATTTGTAGTTTGATGGGGCACCAAAGCTCTCTGACAGAGAAGGCTTAATATTTTACAAAACTATCATTCCCAGAATTCTTTAGCATTGAGCCATGACAGTTAACACTGCATCAAACTGCATTAATTCTGCAATGTAAATGCAGCCAGGATTTTTAAAGACAAAGATCTTGGCCAGCCTATAAACATACAGAAGTGACCAATCTTGGCCAGATTCCTTAGGCTATGGGAACCCCATGGAGAATACCAATACCAAGAAGATCCTGTTCTCCATAGCTGCTTGTTTGACTTTGAAGTGTCTACAAGGAAATGTAGTTTGGTGAGGCACTAGAGCTCTCTGTTTGGGAATTCTGAGTACTCCTCCTTCAACTGTAAGTTGCAGGATTCCATAGGCTAAAGTGGAATATAGCGCTACAATTGTGTAGTGTGAAAGGGCCCCAGACATGAAAATAAATGCTACAGATGCACTTCCCCCATTTTCTTTGATGAAATGTTGAAGAGTATAAGGTTTGCACCTGATCAACAGGGCTTCTCTTCTTTGGAGAGCTGAAAATCCTCAATGGGTTAATCTAAATGCATCCCCCCTCTCTCTCTCTTTATTTCTCTTTCTTTCTCTATCTCTCTTCCTCCTTCCCTCTCCCTTGTTGCCCCCCCCCCCAGTAACTAGCTTCATAGCCCAACCAGCCACATTGTGGAAAAACTAAGTGCAGGTGTGGGCTATGCTTTGTTGATCACAATCCCTTTTGCAGAGGAAGCTTTGAATATGTTTGACATAATCAGCTCACAGCCTTTGTCCACTCTCTTTCATAAACGGGCCATTTTCACATCCTTTTCATGAGATCCGACAAGCGGAAAAATAATTAATGTTACCTCAGCCTAAGAGTGACCTAGCTTGGATTCAAAAAGGCAGCCTGTTGCATAAACGAACCATTTAATTGAGTGACAGAGGAAGACGACATGTATCAATTCTGCCACTGTGTATTACATGGAACTATGGGCTGGATGAAGATTGGGTTCCCTCTGCCACAAAAGAAGTTTCCGATCCAGAAGGAAATCTTTAGGGATGGAAGGGACTCTGGGACACACTCTAGCTCTCACTTTCTTTCTGTAGATGAATGACCATCATTTAATATCCATGCTAGCTTTCATTTCAAAGGCAGCCTCACCATTAGTTTAAATGAGGAAACTACCTCAACTGGCAGATTCTAGGTTCCATTAAGTACAGTAGAATGAGAGATGGACCCAAACAAGGGCTCACCTTATAAAAATGCACTTGGAGAGAGGAGGAAAATAAAGAGCTGCCATGGATTAATTCACACTCTATGCCTTGGGCCCATATAGTACAGCATTATTGACTGGGGTGCTCAAAACCTGCAAGAAAAATGGCAGCCAATGATTTTGAATAACTGTAACAGGCACTCTCTTGATCTCACCAGAATAAATGAAAAAAGCTTCCAATGGGCTCAGTCAAGAGTTTCATTGTGCGGGTCTCAGTCAGACTTTGAAAGAGGAAATTCTAGGGTATTTGGTTAGCAATGAAAGATGCTTATACAAGCAAGTCTTTTGGGTTCTTCTCCATTTTGGAAGTTCTGAGGACGTTATCACACATGGGCCAGAAAGCGATAATAAAGTGGA